GCTGCTGCTGCTCCTCCCCCTGCTGCTGCTGCTGCACCTGTTGTTGCGTCTGCTTCTGCTGCTGCTGCTGCAGCAGCAACAAGAGTGTGGGGTGTTGGTGTTTGCTGCTGCAGCACATCCTAATGGGGATGTAATAGACTCCTTCTTAACTAACAGTACTCCTGCTGCAGGTAATTTATTTGCTGCTGCTGCTGCTGCTGCTTCTACTGCTGCTGCTGCTGTTGTTGTTGTTGTTGCTCCTCCAGCTGCTGCATCTGTTGCTGCTGCTGTTGGCGGTATTGATTTTGCTGCTGCACTTTATAGCGTTGGTGTGTTTGCTGCAATTGTTGCTGCAGCAGCAGCAACAGCAGCAGCAGGAATGTTGTTGTAAGGTTATGTGTGTCTTGTTGCTGTTTTGCTGCTGCTGCTGCTGTTGTTGCTGCTGCAGCAACTGGTAGATCTTCTCCAAGGAGTGCAGCAAATGCTGTGTCTTCGGTGTCTTCTGATGGATGGAAGCAGGAGCAGCAGCAGCAGCAGCAGCAGCAGCAGCAGTACTCAGTCCCTTATGCAGCAGCAGCAAACCCATTTGCTAGGCAGCAGCAGAGTCCCTTGGGTAGTCGCCCTGGTAGCTATGAGGGTGCGCTGCAGCAGCAGCAGCAACAGCAGCAGCAGCAGCAACTGTATAATGAGCTGCAGCACGAGCACAGGGATCTAGCGCAGCAGCTGCAGCAGCAGCAAGACTTCCTTGAGGAAGAAGCAAAGAGACTAGATGATGACAGCTGGGGTGCAGCAGAAGGGACAGCAGCACCAGCAGCAGCAGCAGCAGGTGCTGCTGCTGCTGCAACAGAAGAAGAAGCAGACAGATACTGCGAGGATACTGTCTAGATAGAAAAGGAGACAGCAGCAACAGAGACACAGTTGCAGCTTTTTACGCAGCAGCAGCAGCAGCAGCAGCAACAGCAGCAGCACCAGACAATAGAACAATGCTGCTGCACCTGCTGCTGCTGTTGCTGCAGCTGCTTTTGCTGCAGATACTGCTGCAGCATTTGTTGTAGCTGCTGCTCTGCTGCTGCTTATGCATCTCTTGCTGCTGCTGCTGCTGCCAAGGAGGCACAGCGGCAGCAGCAGAAACAGCAAAAGGAAAATCTGCTGCTGCGAGAGCTGCTGCTGCTGCTGCTGCTGCAGTCGTAGAGGTCTGCATGCACTTAGGGTGTACAGGCACCTCAGGCTGCCAGCAGCAGACAGCAGCAGCAAAACTGCTAATAGTCACTGTTGTAGCAGCAGCTGCTGCTACAGCAGCTGCCGCAGCAGCAGCAGCAGCAGCAATAGCAGCAGTTGCTGCTGCTGCTGCTGCTGCCGCTAACAGCAGCGGCAGCAATGGGCGTAAATAGGTAACGAAGATAAATAAACATTGGGGTGTATGTACACCTTTTATTATGGTGTATATACACCTATATTTAAATTAATTAATTAATTAATTAATTAATTAATTTAATTAATTTAATTAATTAATTTAATTAATTTAATTAATTAATTAAATTAAGGTGTATATAGATATATACACCTAAATTTAAATAAATAATTATTTATTTATTGAGGTGTATATACACCCCAATTTAAATTTATTATTCGTCTTTATTTATTTGCATGTATTATTATTTATTTATTTATTTTATTTATTTATTTATTTACTTATTTATTTATTTATCTGTGCCTATTTATTATTTATTTATTTATTTATTTATTTATTTATTTATTTATTTGTGTTTATTTATTGGGGGTTTTTCTAGTGTTATAACCCTAAACCCTAATCCATACAGACAAAACCCTAAACCCTAAACCCTACAAACCCTAAACACTAAATCCTATTAACCGTTAAACCCTAAACCCTAGAGGCGGACAATTAGGGTTTAGGGTTTAATGGCTTATAGGGTTTAGGGTTTAGGGTTTGTAGGAGAGATTATCCTCAAAGGGTTACATCGGACAGTAGCTCCTGGTGCTGCTGCTGCTGCAGTTGCTGCTGCAGTTGCTGCTGCTGCAGCTGCCATTTATAGAGGGCACGCAATACGTCAATAAATAAACAAATAAATAAACAAATAAATAAATAAATAAATAAATAAAATAAATAAAATAAATAAATAAGTAATGTAATAAAAAGCAACGCTGCTGCTGTTGCTGCTGGCATGCAACCGCTGCACAGGAACCAATGGACCACATACAGCTGCTGCTGCTGCTGCTGTTGCTGTTGCTGCTGCTGCTGTTGCTGCCTCAAATATATATTTTTTGCAGCAACACAGCATAAATATTTATTGCAGCAAACAGACAGTGTTGAGTAGCAGCAGCAACAGCAGCAACAACAGCAAGTAGCAGCAGAATCAACAGTAGGAGCAGCAGCAGCAGCAGCAGCAGCAGCAGCAGCAGCAGCAACAGCAGCAAAGCCTGCATCTAATCTTAACATTATCTGCGGAGACACCCAATCCCCAATGTCTCTTCCATGGCTTCCTGCTGCTGCTGCTGCTGCTGAGCCAGCAGCAGCAACAGCAGCAGGACCAGGAACTGCCGCTGTAGCCTCGCCCTCCTACAGCCCAGCAGCAGCAACAACAGAAGCAGCAGCAACAGCAGCAGCAGCAGCAGAGCAGCGCCCAGCAGCGGAGCTAACAGAAACATTGTGGAGATCTTTCTCTGACTTATTATCCTTACCTCCTCCTGCTGCTGCTGCTGCTGCTGCCCCCCCTTACCTTTCAGCAGCAGCAGCAGAAGAAGGTGCAGCAGCAGCAGCAGCAGCACCAGCAGCAGGTAGGCCTACTGGCCTACTAAGCGACTATGAGGCTGTTGGTGATTTGCTGCTGCATGCAGCAGAGAGATGCATGCAAAGTCTTCTTCTTTGCTGCTGCGTAAGGAAGGGAAAAGCAGCCTTTCCTTGGGCATCAAGGAGCAGCAGCAGCAGCAGCAGCAGCAACAGCAGCAGCAGCAGCAGAAGAGGATATGAATGATGCCTGATGTTTGCTGGTGCAGAGCAGCGCCAACAAGATGCACCTGCTGTTGCTGCAGCAGCTGTTGCTGCAGCAGCAACTTACACGCTTGCTGCAGCAGCCACCATTAGTCCTGCAGAACCTGCTGCTGCAGGAGCGGCTGCTGCAGCAGACGCTGCTGCTACTGCTGCTGCAGCAGCACTTTTTGCTGCATATTTGTCTATAGGGAACCAAGAGTTTTAATAGTCAACGTGTCTGCTGCTACCTGCTGCTGCTTGCTGCTGTTTGCTGTTGCTTGCTGCTGCTACCTGCTGCTTGCTGCTGCTACCTGCTGCTTGCTGCTGCTACCTGCAGCTATCTGCTGCTACCGTCTACTTGCTGCTGCTTGTTACTGCCTACTGTCTATGTACTGCATGCGGTTAGTGGACAGTTGCTACAGTTTGCTTCTGCTGCTGCTGCTGCTGTTGCAGCTGCTGCAGCTGCTGTAGGTGTTGCTGCTGCTGTTGCTGCTGTTGCTGCATGCAGGCAGTCTTTGCTGCCTGCTGATGTTATTCAGCAGCAAAGTTGCTGACAGGGTTTATAGTTTTGTAAGAAAATCATCACTGCAGCAGCAGCAGCAGCAGCATCTGCTGCTCCTGCTCCTGCTGCAGTTCCGCAGCTGCAGCACGACAGCAACAGCAAGGGAGCACTGCAGCAGCACAGCGCATATTCAAGTTCGTTTGCTGCTGCTGCTGCTGTTGCTGTACCAGTACCTGTTGCTGCTGCTGCCGCTGCCGCAGATGCAGCACGCGGTTGCCAGCTGCAGCTGCTGCTGCAGCGGCGAATGCATGCATTCATGGGTTGTTATGCTGCTGTTGCTGCTGCTGCTGCTGCTGCTGCAGTTGCTGCAGCTCGACCTATTTGGGTTGTTGTTGCTGCTGCACCTGCTGCAGCAACAAGGAAGAAGACCGCAACAGCAGCAGCTGCTCGCTGCAGTTGCTGCAGCAACTCAACTTGCTGCTGCTGCGGTGGCAACCTGCCTTAATGGGAAAGGTGTTGCAGCTGCTGCTGTTGCTGCTGCTGTTGCTGCTGCTGTTGCTGCTGCTGCTGCACACGTTGTAATAACACAACAGAGCCATATATGCAGCAGCTGCAACGACAGCAGCAGCAACTGCTGCTGCTGCTACTGCAGCCACTGCACGGGGGAACAAAATCAGGATGCCGCTGCTGCTGCTGCTGCTTGTGCTGCTGCTGCTGCTGCGGTTAGATAGGAAAGGAGTCGAGTTGTTGCTGCTGCTGTACCCCTCAGTGCAGCAGCAGCAACTGGTGCTGCTGCTGCTGAGGCAGCAGATATTGCAACCTTCGCGGCTACTGTAGCCACGGTTGCTGGTGCTGTTGCTGCTGCTGTTGCTGCTGCTGTTGGTGCTGCTGCTGCCACGGAGACAGCAGCAGCAGCAGCAGCAGGATATGATTCTTGCAGCAGCAGCAGCAGCAGCAGCAAATGACACTCAGCCTTGCCCCATACAAAGCCGAAGGGGAGGCGAATAAACTTTAATAAGGAGAGATACAGGAGGAAGAGGATAGTGCTGCTGCTGCTGCTGCTGCTGCTGCAGCAACAACACGTTACTGCAGCAACAGCAGCAGCAGCAGATAAATATATAATCAGTATTCCTGGCAAGGGACAGGGAATTCGTCTTGACGACGGCCGCTGCACTGCAGCAGAGGCTCAGCGCAGTTCTTCGTGTTGCACTGCAGCAACAACAGCAACAGCAGCAGCAACAGCAACAGCAGCAGCACGCAGATGAGAGGACAATAGTTGCAACAAACCAGAGAGAGACGTAGAGTGCTACGCAGCAGCAGCAACAGCAGCAGCAACAGGAGCAGCAACAACAGGAGGAACAGACTGTGCACCAACATTACTAACACCACAAAGAGCAGCAGCAACAACAGCAGCAGCAACAGCAGCAACAGCAGCAGCAGCAACAGCAGCAGCAGACATACATCAATACATCTATCTGAGCAAGTATTAATAAAGCAAGATCTTCTGCATGTAGTTGCTGCGCATGCAGTTGCTGCACCAAAGCATGCAGCACAAGATTTAGTTATCTGCTGCTGCAGTTGCTGCTGCAGCTGCTGCAGCAAACATGCTGCTGTTCTTTCTTTATCACCAAATGATCTTCTGCCGCATTCATCTAAAATACGAAAAAAATATGTTGATGGTCTTAGGCTCCTTCTTGCTGCTGCTGCTGCTGCTGCTGCTGCTGTTGTTGCTGCTGCTGCTGCTGCGGCGGCGGCAGCGGCAGCAGCAGCAGCTGGAACCGGTACAGCCAGAGGAACAGGTACTGTAGGAACTACAGGTAATACAGGGAGAGCAGGTACTAAAGAAATGCCGACATTGCTGCTGCTGCTGCTGCTGCTGCTGCTGATACTGCTGTTGTTGTTGTTGTCTGCTGCAGATGCTGCAACAGCTGCAGCAGCAACTGCAGCAGCAGCAGCTGCTGCTGCTGCTGCACCTGCATACTGTGCTGCATGCGCTGCCTCTCGGGCTGCACGGCTATTCATCGCAATCACAGAGTTCATCTTCTCACGCATGGCCTCGCTGCTGCTGCTGCTGCTGCTGTCGCTGCTGCTGCTGCTGCTGCTGCTGCTCTTCCTGCTGCTGCTGTCTCTGTTGCTGTTGTCCACCCTAATGCTGCCGGCCTTCTCGGGCTTCTTGGTGCTCTCAGTCTTGCTGCTGCTGCTGCTGCTGCTGCTCTTGGTGCTGCTGCTGCTGCTCTTGCTGTCGCTGTCGCTGCCGCTGTTGCTGCCCGTGCTGCTGTTGCTGCTGCTGGTGGTGACCCCTCTCTTGCTGTTGCTGCTGGTGCCGCTCTTGCTGCTTCCGCTGCTGCTTGTGGGGTTGCTCTTGCTGCTGCTGCTGCTGCTGCTGCTGCTGTCATCCTTGCTGCTAGTCTGTGTCTCCTCAGGGAACGCAGCAGCAAGAGCAGCTGCTGCTGCACTTGTTGCTGCAGTAACTGCCTCATGTGCACGGCCAGCAGCAGCTGCTGCTTCTGCTGCTAGATGCTGTATAGTAACAAATGCACTTGCTGTTCCTCTCCCTAGCTGCTTCTGCTGCTTCTGCTGCTGCTGCTGCTGCGGAGGCACATAAGGTATCCAAATAATCTTCATGTCTTCGTCTGTGCAGCCGGGCTCTGCTGCTGCTTCTGCTGGGTCTGCTGCTGCTGTTGCTGCTGTTTTTGTTGCTGCTGCTGTTGTTGTTGCTGCTGCTGCTGGCCCTGTTGCTGCTGTTGTTGCTGCTGCAGTCGGCCCTACTGCTGCTGCTGCTGTTGTTGTTGCCGCAGATGTTGTTGTTGTTTCTGCTGCAGCAACTGCTGTTACTGTTGCTTCGGGTGCTGCTGCTGTTGCTGCTTCTGTTGATTCTGCTGCTGCTGCTAATGTGCTGCAGCACAGCAGCACAATGAGAGCAAACAGCTGCAGCAGCAGCAACCGCTGCTGCTGCCCAGCATACACCTGCTGCCTCGCCATCCTTACAAAATTCTTTGCTGCTGCCACTGACACGCAGCAGACTTGCTGCTGCAGCAGAACTAACACTGCTGCCGCTTCTGCGGTTGCTGCTGCTGCTGCTGCTGCTCAGCTTCCACTTCTGCTGCTGCTGAGGGGATTCTGCTGCTCCTCGAGCAGCTTTACAGACTGTTACCGTTCCTTCTGTCGCTGCTGTTGCTGTTGCTGCTGTTGCTGCTGTTGCTGCTACTGCAACGGCAGGATTTGCTGGGTGTAGAGTGACCTTCGCCAAGGATGGCGGCGCAGCAGCAGCAATGTTGCTGCTGCTGGTCTTCCTGCTTCTGTGGCAGTTGCTGCTGGTGTTGCAGCAGCAATTGCTGCAGCAAAAGCATAAAAATCTGTTAATACAGATGCTGCTCCTTAAGGAGAGATACGTAGCAGCAGCAGCAGCAGCAGCAACAGTGTGTTGCTGCACACGCTCTACCGGAGCGCGGAGAGTGAGTGTCTGTTGCAGCAGCAACAGCAGCAGCAACAGCAGCAAGTGCAGCAAGAGCAGGGGAAAAAAAGCAACAAAATAAAATAAATAAACCTGTTTATATATTTATCTCTCCTTATTAATAAAAAAAAAAGAAAAAAAAAACATTTAATAAAAAAACTGACACAAAGGCAGCAAAGACACCTTGCTGCTCAGCAGCACAGCACAGCAGCAACAGCGACGGGAGCTCCTGCTGCTGCTGCTACTGCTGCTGCTGGTAGTAGTACTAGTAGAGCAGCAGCAGCAGCAGCAGCAGCAACCCAACCCCTAACCGTAAGTAACACCCACCATACACATAAATCCCTCTTATATTCAGGTGTATATACACATCAGCCTTTTTCTTTCTTATAAGGAATTCCTTAGAGGGGGGGAGCGGGGGCCCTCTCCGTCGGCAGCGGTCAGCAGCAGCAGCAGCAGCAGCAGCAGCAGGAGATCTAGTTGATCATTGGATGCAGCAATAGCTGCTCTAAGGAAGGACCTAGCAGCAACAGCAGCAGCAGCAGTTAATGCAGCACAAGGAGCAAAGACAGTGGTGGAAGACCACCACCATAGACAGCAGCAGCAATTGCAGCAGCAGCAGCAGCAGCAGCAGCAGCAACAGCAGCAACAGCAGGAAGTGGCAGCAATGAAAAGGCGAGCGACTCATGTCTTAGTCGCAGCCTTATTGCTGCTGCATTCTGCTGCATCTCTGAGCCCTGCAGCAGCAGCAGCAGAACCAGGACACCCCACAGCAGCAGCAGCAGGCACCACTCCTGCTGCTGCTGCTGCTGCTCCTGCTGCTGCTGCTCCTGCTACAGAGCTTGAACTTGCTGCTGCTGACGAGGTGTACGACTTCCCGCTGCACCGTTTAGCCTTTGGCTCTTGTTTCCGTCAGCAGCAAAGATGGGAGGTAGAAGCACTAGCAGCAGCAGCTGCTGCTGCTGCTGCAGATCCTGCTGCTGCTCCTTCTGCTGCAGCAGCAGAAGCAGCAGAAGCAGCAGAAATACGAGAGAAAGTCTTCGAAACAATTTTAGCTACGAAGCCACAAGGGTGGCTATGGATAGGCGACGCAGGATATGCAGGTCTGCTGCTGCTGCTGCTGCTGCTGCTGCTGCATTTCCTCATGTTGCTGTTGCTGCTGCTGCTGCTGCTGCGGAATTGTTCCTCTGTTTAGTTGGTGGCTGCTGCCTGCTTGTTGCATGCAATATACATGTTGCTGTTTGTGTGCGTGCTGCTGCTGTTGTTATCCCTGGTTGCATGCATCCCTCTGTGTGTGCTGCTGCTGCATATATATATTTGCATGCGTACTTTACTGCTTCTGCTGCTGCTGTTGCTGCTGCTGCTGCTGCAGAAGGACCCGATGCAGCATCAATTCGTGAATCTCTTGCTGCTGTATCTGCTACTAACAGCTACAAAACCCTAAAAGAAAACATTTCTTTTCTTGATGGTACTTGGGATGATAATGACTTCGGTAACCCTAAACCCTAAACCCTAAACCCTAAACCCTAATAAACCCTAGCAGATACTGGATGGTGACTTGCGCTGCTGCTGCCGTTTATCGACAGGTTTTAGGGTTTAGTGTTTATATTAAAGGTTTCCATTGTAGGGGGATACCCTCAGGGTTTAGGGTTTTTTAGGGTTTAGGGTTTAGGGTCTAGGGTTTAGGGTTTAGGGTTTAGGGTTTAGGGTTTAGGGTTTGTGCAGGTATGAATGATGGTGGTAAGAATCAAGAAAATAAAGAAGAAATTCTTCGCTCTTTTTTATCTTTTTTAAATATTAAACCCCAAAGCCCTAGATGGACAAGAAAGGGTTTATATTCATCACATCTATTCCCTTTGCCGCAGCAGCAGCAGCAGCAGCAGCAGCAGCAGCAGACGCAGACGCAGCAGCAGCAGCAGGAACAGCAGCAGCAGAGAGAAGGGGACCATCAGCAGCAGAAGCAGCAGCAACAGCAGCAGCAGGAAGAGGGTGTACGTGTACTGATACTGGATACGCGTATGCATAGGGATATGCATGCAGTCCCAAGCCCCGCCATGTTATTTCTTCCTTCCCCTTTTTGTCGTCTTCTTTCCTTAGCAGGAGCAGCAACACGATTCTTAGTACATTTATTTGGGTACCTCTAAACCCTAAACCCTAAACCCTAAACCCTAATTGGCAAGTGTCAACATTTGTTCTTTATTGGAATACCAAACCTCCTCCTCATACTGAATCCATCCAATTTAGGGTTTAGGGTTTAGGAATTTTTAGGGTTTAGGGTTTAGGGTTTAGAATTTTTAGGGTTTAGGGTTTAGGGTTTAGGGTTTAGGGTTTGGATGCAGGTTCGGTTATAACTACGAAGGAGATATATTAGGAGAAGAGCAATGGGCTTGGCTAGAGGCGCAATTAAAACACTCAAAGGCGAAGGTACATATTATTATTTCTTCTATACAGGTATAAACCCTAAACCCTAAACCCTAAACCCTAATACAAACCCTAAACCCTAATACAAGCCCTAAACCCTAATTTGAGCCCTAAAAACCTGAGTTTTGCGCAGTACACTATCTACCCATCTAGTACTGCCCATCGTGCTCTCCTTTCTGCTACTCCATTTCTATTTGCTGCTGCTGCTGCTGCTGCTGCTGCTGTAGGTATTAACAGGATTCCCTATAGTAGAGAGTTGGGGACATTTTGCTGCTGCACGTCTTCGCTTATTTTCTCTTTTATTAAAAAATAAACCCCAAGGATTAATTCTTCTCTCTGGTGATGTACATTATACAGAGTTACTAGGTAATAAGGTAAGGATGCAGCACCAGCACCAGCAGCACCAGCAGCAGCAGCAGCAACTGCAGCAGCAGCTGGTGCTCCTGCTGCATGCATGGGTGCAGCAGCTGTCCAGCAACAGCAGAGAAGAAACAGCACTGCAGCAGCAGCAGAAGAAGAGAAGCAGAAAAAAAGGTGGAGAATAGATATGATGTATGCATGCTGCATGCTGTTGCTGCTGCTGCTGCTGTTGCTGCTGTTGTTGCTGCTGCTGCTGCTGCAGGATGGTGTAGTAGAGCTAACAAGCAGCGGATTAACACACAGTGTAGGGGAGTCCCTGCTGGGTCTGCTGCTGCTGCAGCCGCTGCTGCAGTGGATATACACCGCAAGACTGCAGCAAGATGCATTTTCTCTTAGAAGGAACTTTGGTCTTGTAGACTTCAATTATAAAGGTTATTTTGCTGCTGCTGCTGCTGCTGCTGCTGTTGCTGCTGCTGTTGGTGTTGCTGCTGCTGCTGCTATTGCTGCTGCTGCTGCTGCTGCTGGGTGTTGTTGTTGTAGTTGTTGTTGGGGTTGTTTGCTGTTTATATTTTGTTTAGGGTTTACGCTGCTGCTGTTGCTGCTGCTGCTGCTTTTGCTGCTGTCTTTGCTGTTGTTGTTGTTGCTGCTGCTGCTGTTTATGGTTGATGAGGAGGGGGCCTGCGTCTTGGCCCTGCTATCCTGTTTCCTTGCCATTGCTGCAGGAGCTGATTTTGTCTGTGCTGCTGCTGCTGCTGCTGCTGCGTGTGCTGCTGCTGCTGCTGCTGTTGCTGCTGCTTTAGAGTCTGGCGTAGAAGCAACATTGTCTTCTATAGATATGGAGACAGGGGAGGTGCTGCTGCAGCAGCAAATTGATTTTGCTGCAGCAGCTGCAGCAGATAAGAAGAACAGATGGGATGTGCTGCTGCAGACAGTTCCTCATGTATTGAGGCCTCCAAACTTGCTGCAGCGCCTGCTGCAGCTGCTGCTTTTGCTGCTGCTGCTGCTGCTCTTCCTGCTGCCTCTGCTGCCCCTATTTCCTAAGACAAAGGAGCTGCTGCTGCGCTCATTGAAATTGATGAGGAGACAGCAAACCTATCAGCCTCTGGTGTCTCAGGAGACACCAGAGAGCAATAGCAGCAGCAGCAGCAGCAACAGCAGCAGCAGCAGCAACAGTAGCGGTAGTACAGGGCTGCGCAGCAGGAGCAGCAGCCCCGTGTTACCTCAGCATTCCTTATATAGTCAATGATCCTCTGCAGGGATTAGTAATTGCATGCAACTGTTTCTGCTGCTGCAGCTACAACAGCAGCAGCAGCACCTGCTGCTGCTGCAGCAGCAGCAGCAGCAATAACGTTGGCATTTGAGACAAATAGAGACACTTTTGCTGCGACGGGCATTTCCCGTTGCTGCTGAGATTTTGATAGAATCTCCAAGACACTTGCTGCTGCTATTGCTGCTGTTGCTGCTGCTGCTGCTGCTGCTGCTGTTTAGAGTGTAGAAATGAAGAAGAACAGGCACGAAGGGGAGACATTCAAATAGCAGCAGATTAAGCAGCAGCAGCAACAGCAGCAGCAAGTTGCATGCTGCATGTTTGAGTTGCCTCTGGAAGTATATATATCTGCTGCTTCTGCTGCTGTTGCAGTTTCTGCTGCTGCTGCTGCTGCAGAATTCTGCTGCTGCTGCTGCTGCTGCTGCTGCAGCAGCTTTAGAAGTTGAAGTTAAGGATGACCTCCTTAAGAGGTTTATTAGCTTGTGCAGAGACACCACGTAGACCAGAGAATGCCCTGCTGCTGCGCTGGCCAGCAGCAGCAGCAGCAGTAGCAGGAGTATTTGTTGCTGCTGCTGCAGTAGTAGCACATTGTGTCTCTGCTTCTGTACGAAAGGAAGACAAGATTGTCTGTGTCCCCTTCGTGCTGCAGCGGCAATGCCTAACTTGCTGCAGTGCCTGTCTCCTTAGCTCCCATTCGTTGTAGCTGTAGCTGCTGCTGCTTGCTGCTGTCTGCTGCAGCAGATCTTCTGTGTCTGCTGCTGCATCTGCTGACTTCCCTTTACTCAGACGTACATACAACTCGGGACGAAGCTCCCAATCGCAGCAAGCTTCTGATCCCTCCTGCTGCTGCTCCTGCTGCTGCTGCTGCTGCTGCTGCGGTAGGCGACGCTGCAGCTCCTGCAGCTCTTGGTGATATGCCCACACCAACAGAGCCTTTAGATCCGGTCTGCAGCAACAGCAGCAGCAGCAGAAGCATCGGCAGCAGCAAACAAGTTAGCTATAATCACAAATGTGCATGCATGCGTCTCGCTATCCATGCAGCAGCAGTACACGACCAGAGGTAGCAACAAGATGCTCCAGCAGCAGCAACAGCAGCAGGAGCAGCAAAAGCAGCAGCAACATCAAAAGCACCAGCAACAGCAACAGCAACAGCAGCAGCAGCAACAACAACAGGAACAGCAGCAGCAGCAGTATACTCAGGAAAGCGTTTCTCGAGCCCTAAGGCGAATATAAGTGCTGGTGCTTTTTGCACAACAGCAGCAAGCTGCTGCTGCAGCAGCAAATGTGGCTGTATATCTGGGTGCTGCTGCTGCAGCTTCTCCTGCCTATCGAGGAACTCGCGTAGCCGTCTTGGGCTGCTAAATAGATAAATCTCTCCATTCAATTGAACTGCCCCTGCAGCAGCAGCAGCAACAGCAGCAGCAACAGCAGCAACAGCAGCAACAGCAGCAGCAGCAATGCAAGCAGCAAACGGAGACGACCGCAAATCCACATTGCTGTTCTTTGTGCAGCAGCAGCAAAAGAACCGATATTACAGCAACAACAGCAGCATCAACAGCAACAGCAGCAGCAGCAAGAGCAGCAGCAGCAGCAGCAGCAGCACCTGCATGCATGTCGCCGGATACGAGGGCCCCATACTGCAGCAATGTCTGTAGGCAATACCCCCCCAGTTCTGCTGGTTGCTGCTGATCAAGATCTGCTTCTGCTAGTATACTCAGCTTGCTGCTCCTGCTGCTGCTGCTGCTGCTAATAGGCTCGTCTTGCTGCTGCGGCTTTGTTCGCCTCCGCAGACGGAGAGCAGCAGCATCAAGCTTTGTGGTGTCTGGTGAGTTAAGATTTTCTGCATGCTGCTGCAGCAGCTGCCGCAGAGCAGCAAGCTGCAGCAGAGCCTGCTGCTCCTTATACACTCCAAGGTAAGCAGCACCTGCAGCAGCAAGGTGTCTATACACTATCTCTGGTGGTGCTTCCCCTTTGTGCTGCTGCAGGCAGCTCTCTGCTGCAGAAAGTTCCTCTACACATACTGCTGCTGCTGCTGCTGCTGAGCCGTGCCGCTGCTGCTGCTGCACCAGCAACGCCTGCACAAAGCGGATCTGCTGCACTCGAAAGACACTCTCTGTTGCAATGACTGCAGCAAGGTTGTCGTCAACTCCTGCAGCAGCAGCAGTAGCAGCAGCAGCAGCAGCAGCAGTAGGTGTAGTAGCAGTTGGAGTATCAGTAGCAACAACAGTAGCAGTAGCAGCAGCAGCAGCCACTGCAGCAGAGGCAAGGGGCCGCCTGCACTATTGAATCACCAGACCACACGGGGTTTAGGGTTTAACGTTTAGTAATTAGGGTTTAGGGTTTAGGGTTTAGTGTTTAGGGCTTAGGGCTTAGGGTTTAGGGTTTAGGGTTTAGGGTTTAGGGTTTACCGATGGCTTCTCTTTGTGCTTCGCTAATACTAAAGATATTGCGAATCCGCTGCAGCGCGTCCTGTCCCTGCAGCGCTTGCTGCAGCAGCAGCTGCTGCTGCTCAGCAGCAAGAACAGCAGCAAGCTGTTCCGGCGGCACAAGCCAATCAAACTTCTCTGCTGCTGCTGCTGCTCTCTGTGCTGCCTCTAATTTCTTTGCTGCTGCTGCTGCTTCTGCTTTCGTTGGTTTTGGTGGCTTGCGCGTTGCTGACTTTGCTGCTGTTGCTGTTGCTGCTGCTGCTGCTGCCGGTGCAGCAGCAGCTGCTGGTGGTGGTGATTTTACTGTCTGCTCTCCTGAAGTCTTTGATGTGCCAGCAGCTGCTGCTGCTGCAGCTGCTGCAGCAGCATTAGCTACTGCTATTGCTTTGCGCTGCTGCAGCAGCAGAGCAGCAAGAACAATACAGCTAAGCTCCTTAAGGTGCTGCTTCCTTAGCTGCAGCGGCAGCGAATAGATGCAAGGGAGGCGGGTGATGGGCAGCACGGAGTCCAGTGCTTGCTCTACTAGCTCCTGCACTCCTTCTGCTGCTGCTGCTGCATCTGCTGCTGCTGCTGCTGCAGAATCCAGAGGGGCACGCGCTGCGGCTGCTGCTGCTACGTCCTCGCTTACTGCTACAGCAGCAACCATAGGCAAGGACACAATACAATAATACAACAAATGCCGCCGCAGCATGCATACAAACTCTGGTCTCCTTAGCTTCCCGTGGTCTGCATGCAGCACCTGCAGCAGCAGCAGCAGCAGCAGCAGCAGCAGCAGGAGCAGCAATAGCAGCAATAGCAGCAATAGCAGCACGAATAGCGTAATTAGAAGCAGCGTAAAAGGAGTACCAGGATAGAGTGAATTGGCTGTAAGGTCTGCAGCAACAAACGCAGCAGCAGCAGCAGCAACAGCAGCAGCAGCAGCAGCACACGCGTACCAATGCAGCTGCTTGCTCTATTCTCTTGTTTTGTTTTGTTTGCTGCAGCGCAGCAGCAGCAACCAAGTCTAGCAGCAGCGCCTCGAAGCTAACTTGCAGAGACAGAGCAGCAGCAGCAGGATTGCTGCGTTGCCCCTGAAGCAGCAAAACAGCAGCAGCAACTGCTGCTTCTGCTTCCTGCTGCGATGGTGGCGTTGTTGTAGCCGAAGAGAAACGGAATAAATCAGTACCCTTCTCTCCTGCTGCTGCTGTTGCTACTGTTGCTGCTGCAGGAGGTATAGTCAGCAGCAAATAAGCTGCATGCGCAAGAGAGAGGGCAATGCCTGCTGCACGAGCAGCAGCAACGAGCTGCTGCGCCAGCTGGGGCAGCACATCATTAAAGAATGGCTGCTGCAGGGTAGTAAGTTGTCTCTCCTGTGTGGCTGCCTCCTCAGCAGCAGCAGCAGCAGCAGTAACAGGGGCAACAGCAGCAGCAGCAGCAGCAGCAGCTGCTGCTGCTGTTGGTTCACCTTGTGCTGTCTGCAGCATCATCTTGCTGTTTCTTCTGGTGTATGTACACCTCAATTAATGCCTTCCCTCCCTCCCTCTTGGGTGGTGGGTTGGCATCTCTGGATATAAGTCTAGCTTGCTAGTTGCTGCTGTTGCTGCTGCTGCTGCTGCTGCTGCAGCG